ACCAAGTTGCCCAGGCAGGTCTCGAACCTGCAGGTTCAGGCAATCCACTCACCTCAGCCTTCCAAAGCATGGGATTACAGGCTGAGCCACCAAGCCCGGTCTACTCTTGGCTCTTAAAGTCCCACTGTCAGCTGGGCTCCAGTCTGGGCAACAGAGTGAGACTCCAACTCAAAATATAAAATAAAATAAAATCTAACCACACGAAAAAAAAAAAAAAGAGCCAAGAGTAAAAGAAATCATGAAGACTTTAGTAGTAACTCCATTTTCAAATAGTATCTCCTGTGGGCCAAAGGGCTACTTCTTAAAGAGGCATGTAAATGTATTCATCTAGCATTTTTTTTCCCATGTAAATTTGATACACAGGTTAATCTCCCCCCCAAGTTGCTTTCACATATATACTCAGATCTGGAATGTACCTTTCAACATCTCCATAAAATCAAACACCTCCCACTGAAGAACAGCCCAGTATTTTCTGCTCAATGGCTTCAACTGGTTAAAGTGAATGTGATAACCTGTTACCTTCACTAGATAGCTTTCTCTCAAACATTAAATCCACGAGTTAGCACCAGTTTATTTGCTTTAAGACTGTATACTCTGGAGGTATTTTTTCTTCCCACTGATCATCTGGTTGTAATAAATAGATGGAAGAGCCATTTCCTAGTGATGGTTGTCTGTTGCTTGCCAGATTTCTAGGGAGAGCCACACGTCACACAATGTGAGACATAGTAACTCCTGTCAGGGCAAACAGAAGCCTAAGTAGTAGCTGTGATCTTTGTTGGCAACAACATACAAGACAACTTTTTCTGAGAAAAGTTACACTTGCTTTCGTGGAGGAAAAAAGCTGCAACTCCTCTTATAAAACACTTCAGGTTATTTCCTATAGGTTCATAACAACAAGAGCTTAACACAGAAACATCTGCTTGGTCAATGTTTATTGTCTTTATCTGGAAAATCCTCATAGAAAACTGGTTCAACTCTCAGCAGCCCGCTCCTGAGCTCTTAGGAAGCTCGCCTTCTTTTGAGCTACCCGATCTTTCTTCTGGGCAAGGGACATTTTGGGACGATTCCACCTACAAAACAAAGTAAAAGAAAGACAGAACTGTACTTTTTAAAACAGTAACTAAATAGAATAGAGAATGTTAAATTTCAACTGAAAAAGACAAAGACTTTGGAATCAGATGGACGTTAAATGATGCAGGTTCTAACACAGTACTTGTGACCTTCAGCCAACGTTTGCGATGTCCTACTACCAAGGGCTAAATTTCAAATAAAAACACATCAGACCCAGCAATCCCACTTCTGGGTATTCACCCAAAAGATGTGAAATCAGTTCGTCCAAGAGATCTGCACTCCCATGTTCACTGCAGCACTATTCGTAACAGCAATAGCACTGTTCATAATTCACAACAGCAGCAGGTAAGTGGATAAAGGAAATGTGGAATACAGACACAATGGGATACTCTTGAGCCTTTAAAGCCAGGCACACAGAGACAAATACCACAAGTTCTCACAGGTGGAACTGAGAACAAACTCACAGAAGCAGAGGGCAAAACAGTGGTTACAGAAACGGAGTAATAGGCAGATGATGGTCAAAGAGTTCAGAATCTTAAGAGAACTATAATTTTTAGTTCTACTGCAGTGTGACAAATACAGTTAACAGAGTGTTATACATGTCAAAATTACTGAGAGTAAATTTCAAATGTTTTAACCACAAAAAAAGTTAAGTCTTTGAGGTGATGGACATGTCCAGCTTGATTTTAACTGTTCCATTGTATTCATAAACCACTTTATGATTGGATGAAACACTAAGTTCACTTTATGCTTAGATGCTCATTAAGTATTCTTTTCTATTTTATTTAAAGGCCAAAATATGAAAGATCAACAAGAAGTAACTCTTAGCCAATAAAAAACCCAATAACTGGCATTTATAACTGTACTAGGATAGAATGGGCCACCTCAGTAGCATGTGAGGCTAATACATCTCTATCACTACAACTGCTTTTGCAAACCTGGTTCCCTTCGCTTCTGCCACACCACGCAGAGCTAGTGATCGAGTTTGCATAACTTCCGAGTCTGGAAAGAGCCAAGGCAGTGCGGAAACCGCTCCCAGCCAAGTCCTCTGAAAAAGGCAACAGTGGGACACATACCTCTTCTTCTTCACTTCTTTCTTGGGCTTCTTCTCATACACAGGATTCTCCCGTATAGCTGCGTGAGCTTTCTTGTACATCTCCTCCATCTGAAACAAAGGAAAGCAAACAGTACTTGGTTTCATTTCACATGCCCTACTAATCAACGGAACCCTACGGTACTACTTGCTTTGTGTTGTCCTTCTCAGCCAGTTTCTCAAAAGGAGTTAAACCAAGTCCATGTTGGTAGAGCTTACATTTCTACACGTAATTCACTTTTTCCTAACCAAGTCCCTATATTTTTACCTTATGCAATGTAAATGGACTCTACTCACAAAACTCAACTTCCTCTTCCTCAAGAAAAATCTGCATGTATTTCTGAGAAATTCAGTCATATTTCTTGCATCACTCTAAAACACATTTATTTCTGCAGAAACTCACATCGCATTCCTCATTTTAAATACTATCTGGCCTAAATTCTCTCATTCAAGCGAGGATATGCTCCAATAACAAAAGTATGTAAGGTGTAAAAGAGGAAGACGACATGGGCCCATGATAGTCTGAGACCAAGGACTAGACACTCAGGCCAACAAGTAACTAACTGCTAAGTTCATCTGTCATGCCAGTCCCCAGATTTACATTTTTCACCTTTATCTTATAGGTCCTTCCAAAGCAATTCCCAGTATTATGTACCAGAGACCTCTCTCACTAGTATCTGGCAGAAACAGATTTCTAATATCTATAAGAACCAGAAAGGTGTCTGATTTTTTCTTGAAAAGCTATTTGATATCTTATTGGGCAACTTTGTTCTAAAATCAACTGGAAAAAAAACAATGTTGCAAACTCTGAATATCTAGTAATAATCACAGCCCCATAAAGATTGTCATCGTAATCCACGTCTCTAATATTATTCAATGTGGAGAAAATGTGACTACTGCATGCATTTGCATAGTTTAGTTTTATATATGTATAAATAAATACTGCTAAAATGTTCACTGCATGAGACCTCAACTACTTAAATCCCTTCTTTTTTTTTTTTTTTTTAAGTTGGGAGTCTCACTCTGTCGCTCAGACTGGAGTGCAGTGGCCACTCCCGGTCACCGCCGCCTCGACCTGCTGGGCTCCGGTGATCCTTCTGCCTCAGCCTTCCAAGCAGCTGGAACTACAGGCACACGCTAGCATGCCAGGCTAATTTTTGATTTATTGTAGAGATGAGGTCTCGCCAAGTTGCCCAGGCGGGTGTCGAACCCGTGGGCTCAGGCAATCCACTCACCTCGGCCTCCCAAAGCATGGGATTACAGGCTGAGCCAAAACTAAATCTCTTCTAAAAGTTAATTTCTCTTCTTCTTTTAGCAGATCCATTTGATGCCTTCCAACATAGTCATTTACCAAATCGAAGCAACTCAGTTCTTTCAAGAGATCAGACAAGCAGCAAATACAACTACATATGTAGATAACACCAAAGACTTAGGTAAAGACCACTTCCTGCTGGAGACACAATCAGATGTCTGCAGAGGATTCCAGCAGGCACACAGGAAGAAAGGCACCACCATAAATAAAATTAATTAGCCAAAGAGCAGTCTGACTGCAAGCATACCAAGTATATGGGAAACATTGGGAAATAAACATCTGAACGCACAAATTGGGAATGTGAAAAGTTTTAAGTATGACAGAACTATATCAAGATATAGCTTAGGAAGAAAAATTTTGCAGGTCAGAGAATCACAGCCTAAATAAAGACCTCTTTATCAGGAATATTATCAAGTAAGAATTAACATGCATCTACATTACTAATTTAAAACTATTAATCAAAAACTCAAGCCACGTGTTTATTCAGCCTTAGACTGTGTCCAAAGAGTACAAATTATAGTCATCTTTCCCCAATTATGGCTATTTTAAAAATTTCCCTAGCTGTAGTTATGCCAGTAGAAAATATGCACTAACAAAAAAGAACCTAGTAAGACAATTACCTGATGCAAAACCTATTTACATAGAATTTTACAGTTATAACAGCTTCATAATAATGTTATTTGTGTTCTACATTTCATTGCAATTTCAAAACTGGTACTATCATCTTCAATTGCTCCACTTTCTTAAGAGGTAGCCCCGGAGACTCAGCTTAATAGCTGACAAATTTCCAGCACTAAACTCACTCTTGAAAGCATGGCTCCCTTCATTTCTGCACCAGCATGCAAAACCAGTGATTGAAGCTGCACATCTCTATGTGCCTGCCTGAGATGTTCCAAAATAGGGCATATATTTGCTAAAAGAACTTTCTTTCCCATGGTCTCAAAATTACGTTTACTAGCTAGTACCCTGTATCAAAGTTGATTACAACCATAACCACAGGAATGACATCTCAACGCACAGAAAAGCCGAAAAAGGCTGGGCACAGTGGCTCAGCCTGTAATCCCAGCACTCTGGGAAGCCAAGACGAGAGGACTGCCTGAGCCTGGGGGTTCGAAAGCAGTCTGGGCAACTTCATAAGACCTCGTCTCTACAGTAAATCACAAAAATTAGCCAGGAGTGCGCCTGTAGTTCCAGCTACTTGGAAGGCTGAAGCAGAATTGCCTGAGTCCAGCAGGTCAAGGATGCGGTGGCCGTGAGCATGCCACTGCACTCCAGCCTGGGCGACAAGAGTGAGATTCCAACGTAAAAAAAAAAAAAAAAGAAAGAAAAGCCAAGGCAGAAAAGGGCACCAACTAGTCTTTGGATGCGTGAAGCCTACCTACCATGCTTCGATTATCAAAAAGGTTCCTAAAAGAACAAGTCTAGTTCAGTACCTTAGACTACAACTTGACTTGTTTACCTATTCTTGTCCAACAACCTAATTTCTTTTTTTCTTTTTTTTTTTGAATAGGGGTCTCACACTGTCGCCCAGGCTGGAGTGCAGTGCATGCTTATGGCCACCACAGCCTCCATCTGCTGGGCTCAGGCGATCTTTCCACCTCAGCCTTCCAAGTAGCTGGAACTACAGGCATGTGCCACCATGCCTGGCTAATTTTTCTCGGTTTATCGTAGAGACAAGGTCTCGCCAAGTTGCCTGGGCTGGTCTCAAACCTGTGGGCTCAGGTAATCCTCTCACCTAGGCCTCCCAAAGTGCTGGGATTACAGGCATGAGCCACGGCACCTGGCCCCAGCCCAAGGACATATTTTAATTAATGCCAAGAACAGCTCGTGAGTCTATCAGGATACGCCCATATTCAACTTTCAACTGCTGCACTAACCTAAAATAGATATACGAGAAATGTTGCCCACCCCAAAACAAGCCATATACTTGTTTTTTTCTTTCTCTTTTTTTTTTGAGTTGGAGTCTCACTCGGTCCACACAGACTGGAGTGCAGTGGCTCCCGGCCACCACAGCCTCAACCTGCTGGGCTCCGGCGATCCTTCCGCCTCAGCCTTCCAAGTAGCTGGAACTACAGGCATGCACTACCACGCCCGGCTAGTTTTTTGTTTGTTTTTTTTAATGTATTATAGAGATGAGGTCTTGCCAAGTTGCCCAGGCGGGTCTCAAACCCGCAGGCTCAAGCAGTCCGCTCACCTCGGCCTCCCAAAGTGCTGAGCCACTGAGCCCGGCCTGTAAACTTGTTTCTATAAATTAACTGATACAGGCATTTTTAGGTAAATTTTTTACCATGTCTGGAGTCACGCTGTTCTTTATGTACTGAGAGAACTGCTTCTTGTAAGCATCTTCATCTTCTTCCATTAGGTAACGCATATAATCTGCAACGTTCTGGCCCATGATGTGCTTCCGATGTACTTCTGCATTAAACTCCTTGCTTTCAGAATCATAACCAGGGAATCGCTTGGTACTGAAATCAAGTTTCATATTTTAGTACAGTGACTGAAATTAGTTTACTAGTAAGAATTCACTTCAGTAGCTGCCATCAGTCCCGTCTTGAAACAATTAGTGCATCATATGCAACCAAAGGACCAACTACTGACTGCTCAGTTAGTGGGATATCATCCTTTAGCAGCTCATCTCTGAATTCCAAATGGAAAATGCACACCACAAGCACCTTTAAAAGCCATTACCAAGGCTTTCTATCCCTACAAAATTATCTGTCAGCATAGGAAGGACTTTCAAAACTTATTCCCCAAATTCTGTTATTTCTCAATGGGAACAAGGGATTTGTCCAAGGACACAGTTAATGAAATCGTCAAGTGAGAATGCACTTGGAATACCTGCACCTAACTTTTTTTTTAGTGAAGACTCATTCTGTTGCCCAGGCCGGAGTGCAGTGGCACACTCACGGCCACTGCAGCCTCGACCTGCTGGGTTCAGGCAATCCTTCCACCTCAGCCTTCCAAGTTTCTGGAACTACAGGCATGCGCCACCATGCCCAGCTACTTTTTTGATTTATTGTAGAGACGAGATCTTGCCAAGTTGCCCGGGCTAGTCTCAAACCCATGAGCTCAAGCAATCCTCTCATCTTGGCCTCCCAAGTGCTGGGATCATATGCGTGAGCCACTGCGCCCGGCCTCTCACTAACTTAACAGTAAAGAATTTACAACATAGACTGTAAATGAGAAGACGCACAAAGACATTTAACAGGCGCTGTGCATGAGATCTCAAAAACATACAAGACCCACAACAGGTTCTCAAAAACATACAAGACCCACAACCCTACATTACAAAATCCCAGTGTTGTATTTTACTTACCAAAAACAAAAAAATCTGTTGCCAAAAGTTTTTTGGCTGTTAAGTCACCAATTACTAAAATATTCCTAAGAAGTTAATAAATCGCCAGGCTCGGTGACTCAGCCTATAATCCCGTGCTTTGGGAGGCTGAGATGAGTGGATTGCCTGAGCCTGCGGGTTCGAGACCCGCCTGGCGAACATGGCGAGACCTCATCTCTACAATAAATCAAGAAATCAGCCAGGCGAGGTAGCGCGCGCCTGTAGTTCCGGCTACTTGGACGACTGAGGCGGAGGGATCGCCAGAGCCCAGCAGGTTGAGGCTGCAGTGGCTGGGAGCGGCCACTGCACTCCAGTCTGGGTGACAGAGTGAGACTCCGACTCAAAAAAAAAAGGTTAATAAATCAGGTACATCTACAAAGAACTCATAATCACACCAAATGGAACTGCAAATAACCTACTAACTACACAGAATGGCCTGTGATCTTATCTCCCTCTAGTTGAACATTTAGAAATCATTCCGAAGTCTTTTTCTTCATCTCTTCTCTTCTAGGATCCACATTTTCCATAACTCAGCAAATCATTTTGATTCTAAATGGAAAAAACGCATGAAGAGAAACAGGGGGAAGTTGCTCATTTCTAACTGAAATTAAGACATACGCAAAAAAGTGGTGGCTTATGCCTCAGCTTTTCACTTACTGGCTACAAAACCTTGGACAAATCACTTTACTTCTGAGCCTCAGTCTCTTCACGTACACAACGGGTTACAATTCCTTCCCGCCCTACCAGGAGCCCTTTGCATAGTACCTAACATACAGCAAGCATGAGATGAGGGGTACTTTAATGGATTCAGTATGCCCAGTTAAAAACAGAAAAGCGCTAGAGTCCAGGCACTGAGGACTTGAGTACTATTACCTGTGAGGGATAGACAAGCCACCATCCACAGCTCCCTTCAGGGCTCCAAAAACTTTATTGCCAGTGGTAGTTCTGGCAAGGCCTGCATCCAAATAGCAGGTGAAAGCACCGGCCTTGCCATCAACGCTTTCTACATTGTATTCATCTCCGGTCACCTCCACTTGGCCTTCATAGGTCTTGTCCATGCCAAACGAATTGAGGAGCTATTAATAAAGAAGCTAACGTAAATGGCCTGTTTGGATATGTTCAAACTGCTCTAAAACTAAAATGTCATGCCACAACCTTAATGACCTCTGATATCTAGAAAACAATTTCCTTCCAATTCACCTATCCCTTTTACCCCAATCTACTTAAAAAAGTCGTCAAGTTTTAAGCTGGGCACGGTGGCTCATGCCTGTAATCCCAGCACTCTGGGAGGCTGAGGTAAGAGAATTGCCTGAGCCCATAGGCTGGAGACCAACCCAGGCAACTTGGTGAGACCTCATCTCTACGATAAATCAAAAAATTAGCTGGACATCGTGGCACATGCCTGCAGTTCCAGTTACTTGGAAGGCTGAGGGGGAAGACCACCTGAGCCCAGCAGATAGATGCTGCCGTGGCAGTGACCGTGCCACTGCACTCCAGCCTGGGCAACAGAGTGAGACTCTCACTCAAAAAAATAACAAAAGTCATCAAGTTTTAAATGCTACCAAAAAAACCACTTCAGACATTCAATTTAACCCACACCACTCGTTTTATATCTTCTGAATCTTTGCTACATATCCATTCTTGATTTATATAGCAATCAATTAAAATGCAGACTTAATTTGATTCATTTTTTGTAGAGAGGAAGTCTCGCTATGTTGCCCAGGATGGTCTCAAGCAATCCTCCTATCTAAGCCTCCCAAAGTACTAGAATTACAGGTGTGAGCTGCCAAGCCCAGCCTGATTCTCATAATAGCTCAAGGGAGGCAATCTCCAAATTTCTTTAGTCGTATGTGGCTACACTAATCCAGTAACTAAACATTAGGTGTTACCACGTAGTTTATTTTAGCTTAATAAGGAATGCAATTTTATGAGTAGGACGCCAGACTGAAGGAAACATTTTCTGTGACTTTATTCTCCAATTACATTGTTATTTTGGGTCATTCCTCTGCTGGTACAGGGGTCACCTATGGTTTCACAAGCAAAGACTTTGCTCCAAGTCGTTCTCATATATAAAAAAACAATGACCTCTCCCACTCAAACTTTTTATATTTTTTATATATATATATATATATTCTTTTCTTTTTTTTTTTTTGAGCTGGAGTCTCACTCTGTCACCCAGACTGGAGTGTAGTGGCTGCTCCCGGGCCCC